GTTTTCAACAGTTGCAGGTTATAATGGAAATTATGCTAATCCTCAGTCAGGTTATGCCAATTATTATCCTGTTAGTTATGCAGTTGTATTTATACTTTATTTTTTTTCTCTAATAAGCTTTGCAGAATGACTTATTCTGATTGAGTGATTATGAAATAATTTCTTTTGAAATATAAACGCCATATGTCCTTCTATGATGTATGTAGATTGATATATTTCTAATCCTTTTCATGCTACCAAATTTAAAGAGCAATAATTTAATCTAATGGATTATTACAGGTATTATTCATACCAATTCTTTTACACTATACTAACCTTAAAAAGAAATACTATATAAAACAATGGTTCATTCTATATGCCCATGGTATCGGCCAAAGAGAGCCTAAACTTGAATTTCAATACACCGTATTGTGTACACAATCATCCAAAGTTATAGAAAATATGATCTGACTCCAATACTAAAAGATCATAGCAATGAAGAAAATCATCAGATTGTAAAAAAGTGAAGTTTCATCAGTTTAATCCAAGAAATGTTAAAAATTCCAAAGCTAATTACAGATTTTACATTTAAAAGAATGACAGGGAAGGCAAAGTCTAAGAATAGCTGCAATTGAGAGATAAGGTTGATAAAACAACTACGAACCTGGTCTTGACCTTAAGCCAAGAAAGCTCGTATAATTTCCTTGTAAGGTTTTGAGACGCCTTTCCAAAGGCTATGGTTCCCTTCCACAATATCATACCTATTCACCATATAGTCATTATTGGCAATGTCAATTATCTTACCAAAGCAGTTTAAACATTAAAAAAAAAAAATGGTTCAGAACATCTAAACAAATTTTTCCCATTCTTTTCCATTTTTGGGGCGCAAGGTAATAGCTACATATATTATCAGACATACTAATTCACCGACTACATACTCCTAATCTTAGCCAAAGTGGTTCAGAACGTCGAGTATCCGCAGAAAAACAAGGATGAACATAATGTGAAATTACTTATAGTGATGAGTACTTTCATACTAATACAAAGATTTACTGTCAAGAAATCAAGGGTTATGGTAAAACACAAAATAATAAATTTTAAAAAACACTTACCAAGAACTCGGACAATCTCAGCTGTACTTCCACCATCATCAGAAACAGGAAGAACATGAGCAACACAAGTAGTTAACTTCTTAAGCTCTTCTGCAACACCATTAAAGGCTGTTCCACCTGTGTACTAACAACTTGTCAGATCCCATAGTAATGAGTGAACATAAGCAGCCAGAGCTAGAGAATGAAACAGAACTAATTCTACAATCCCATCATTTAATTAAAACTAAAAGAGGTACATTTCAGTAGAATGAGCAGTATAATGTAGAATGAGCAGTATAAGCCATTTGCCAATACTATATAAAATATTGTGCATTATCTCAAGTTCTGTGGATTTTCTACGTCTTTGCTTGCAAGAAGCTTACAGAAGATTTCCCCAAATTTTGAATTTCCACAATCACACCTAAAGTTTCTCTTGGTCCAGAGCTCCACAATCTATTCAAAGCAGTGTGAGGCACTCCATAAGGGAAAGCTTATCATACTTAATATGCACAGACAACATTCTGTAAAACTGAGACTTACAGTGCTATGAATCAACTTAAAATATAAAAATTAAAAAAGGGGTAGCATCATGGTAAAAAAAAAAAAAAAAAAAAAATCTTTTAGTAACAACACGTCAGTCACAATATTGCCACGGGATGAACCTTCTAACATACAAAAAAAAAAATTTAATTGACAATTTATCAAACAATTAGCTTCAGATCATACATGACTGATACTTGTAAAAGAGTAAAATCAAATCAATTTTAGATTAAATGAATATAAGCCTAGCATCAGAACAAAAAAAATTATGCAGGCAAAGCGAGATCAAAACTTTAAAATGTTATTCAGATTCCTCCAAGTAATCACAGAATCTTAGGGCACACAACAACAGAAATTGCCAAGAATGAAGTTTAATCAACGAATGAGAAAGGGGAAAAACAAGATGGGATTTTTTATTATTTTAATATTAAAAAAAAATAACCTTTTCAGATAAAATTGCGTAGGATAAAACTGAGGATGATTTGATTCAACGTTGTTCAGTCTATTCTGTGTTGTCTCGCGTTGCTTTGTTTAGATCGCCAGTGTTAGGGTTAAAGTTCTTAGGCCTCTTGACCATGAACGAATAGAGATGCATACATTGTTCAGTCTCTTCTGTGTTGTCTGGCGTTGCTTTGTTTAGATCGGCAGTGTTAGGGTTAAAGTTCTTAGGCCTCTTGACCATGAACGAATAGAGAGGCATACATAAATTGCTGGATCGCCGGTCGATCCTCTCGAGGAATCGATATCGACAGTCTGATCGGCTGAGCTTCTGAATTATGTTATTTTTCTTTGAATGGCTTCGGAGGAGGTGAAGACGGGTAAGTCGGCTGTGGAGATCAACTAAGGATAATAACTATTATAGAGGACTCACGGTCAACTAAGGATGGGATTGACTTAACGACAAACTAACGGTTAATTAAAAATTTTAACGGATGGACTAACGGTGTGTGGGTATTTAAGTAAATTTCATTGTTAAATTTAAATCTGATCAATTTTTTGATTAATCTGAGCCATTCATTTGATTAAAATCTGTGACGGACACATTTTCTACCCATTATAGGCCTAACTCTCTTGGGCTCTTATTAGTATAGTAGATATAGTAGATAGTAGATGTTTAAACTATTCATATTATTTTAGGATATACTTATTAACTTTTTCATATTAATTTTTATTTAAATTTAAAACTTTTGAAATTTGGTGGGCCATCGCCAATGCCCACGGGGTGGGGCGACATATTTTAGACCTGTATTTTGGCGAGCATTTTAGCCCGCCCCACCAGCCTGTTTGGACAGCTCTAAGGGCATCCATAATGTTTAACGGATATTTCTTTTTTAATCATTACTCAATAATTATTTAGACTACATATATATATATACAAATAAATACGGAGTAAATGTTAAAAAATCCTATATATAATAAAGCTATATGGTCTTGTGAAAATTGAATGTTGCATTTAATTTTTCACAAGACCATATGACTTTAAGATGTGAAAGTCTTGTGAAAATTAAATGGGCTTTAAGATGTGAAATTAAATTACTTTAAGATGTGAAAATTAAATGCAACATTTACATCTTAAAGCCATATGACTTTAAGAAGCATGCATGCAACCCCAAAGTCCATAAGTTTGAAATTAATATATAGCATAGCTATGTGGTTTAATATTTAAGATTGTTGATGTGCATATTGAGGACTACGGAGACAAAGATGCGTTATTCGTGGATTCATCGGATACTATCCAACAACACTCTCCAACTTAATTGACGTGAAGTAGGCTTAGTAACATTAAGATTATATTCTCGAATTATTAGTTCTCATCTTTTATTGATTACACACTTAATTCGATAGTATTTAGAAGAAAAAAATCAATGTTCTAACTAAGATTGTGATTTTGGTCTTTAAAGGTCAATTGTATGTTGCTACATCTAGAGGTAGAAATCTCAAAGGTCTAAAAATTTTGATCCGTGGTGACTCTAAAATTGTAATTCAATTACTATTGTAGTTTACTAAGTTCTTAAAAATTTATAATATTAAATACTATGTACTAAATTTTTAATATAGTTTAAGATTTGTAGTAATCACCCACCTTAAATATTATTTTAATTGTAAATATATTTTTGTTCATAATTTTATCATAGGAATTCACACATGATAATTATTAAATAACAAAAATTTTATATATGAATAAACTCCATATAGTGTATATTTTTATAATATATTTTCCGTGCATCGCACGGGACAAATACTAGTAACAAAATAAAGAAACAATGAAGTGGTAAAGTCATTTTCCTGTTTTTTGTTTTGTAAATGTGCAATCATCGCAATGTATTTCCACATTTTCATATTTTGATTAATTTGACACTTCGAATAAAGTTGTTAATATGATCGTAATTTGATAGGTTGGGTATCACAAATTTTGGCCCAACTTGTACAAAATGCATGTTGAATCCATATATCTGCTTAGTCGTTTTAATCAAATTAAACATTTTAGAACTTTAAAATTTTAAATCATTTTATTTTCCTTTCTTAATTTTTGCTTTTTGTTAATTGTTATTGCTTTTGAATTTGAATAATGAATCATGAATGACTTATAATTATGTTATTTCTACTTTGTTACTTCACTTATTTGAAAATCGGAACTTTGAACAAATTGTGATTAAATAAAAATTTATGAACTGTGTATTTTATATTTTTAATATTTGTGTAATGGTGTGTTTTGTGATTTTTTAAAATTGATAAATGCATAATATTGTTTTTTTTGTTAATATTTATCTATACTACTAGTTATGACACGCGCTTTGCGCGATTAGACTAATGCCCAATGAGTTTCCTTTTTGCTGGTTGTGTGTTTATTGCATGTTGTTTACTCGTGGTAGTGAATGACAAGGAATCGTGCAATGATGTTATGGTATATGATATCATATTTTTGCCTTGTTGTGTGTAGGATTGAGACCTCAATTGTATTATATATTCTTCATCTTGTAAGCGGTTATTGATATGTTGAAATCGTAGACCTTACAAGATGTTTATGTAGTTAGTCATAGGTTAATTTACTGTAAAACATGAGTGGTTGTGGGTGGTAAAGGAGGAATACATGTTGTTCCAATTGCATAACTTGTTTGCTCGTTAAGAGTAATAGTTGTTCAGCACATTTTCCAAACACAGATGCAACAAGGCATCCACTTCCATCAGTAATTTCCACATCCAGTTTACACCTATTATGTGTTTTTAGATTAGCATTGTTGTATTATGTTTGTGTAATGATTAAATTGATACTGACCTCCTTCTTACAAATAAATAAATAAACTGTCTATAAAAATTGTTACTAACCGTGGTGTTTCCACTGCATTCATTTCACGACAATGCATGCAATTAAATTGTTTGTCACTTTTCGCGTAAACCTTTTTCATACAATGACTACATCCAATGTACCATGTGTTTTTTATCTGATGCTTAAAGCTGATTTTTCCTTTTATCCAAGCAGGTTTATTCTACAAGTTGTCATGAGTAAAAAAAATGAATGTTAATGTTAAGTATAAAATATTGAATTATTGTGTAAAACTTTTTTTTTTATATATATACCGGATCAATTGATGGAGGGATAATAGCAATTGTAGAAATTTATGCAGTTTCTGGATTTGCAAGTTTTATTGCAGCGTCATTGTAGTGTCAACATCGTTTTTGTTGGAGATAATGAACCAAAATCGATTTAATATCCCTTAAAATAATATTTATATATATACACACGAAATATATATAAAATATTATTGGATATATATATCCGAAATATATATATACACACACAAATATATATAAAACGGATCCAAAGGTTATATATACGTATATCTACGAGAAAGATATAACAATATATATCAACCAAAAGGAACTTATAATAATCCTCGGATTATAAGTCCAATCCAACTAAAATGTCAAAAGATGGAGAACGGATTTTTGGTTAAAAGCATAATCCAAACAAGAAAGAAGGAGAAGGAAGAGAGAAATGTACGAGTTAGGCGAGTGCCTTTCTTTCCTTAAAACCTTATTTGCCACCTCCCAAAAGTGCTAGGAGCTTTGTGGCCTAGATTTCCCAGGATAAAACGTACAACGGTTCGACGTTTGAGCACCCAAACGAACGAACCCGGCGAACTAGAGCACGGGCAAAACACAGCTTCAAGAAGAGAGTAGGAGCAAAGTTTTTGGAGCTGGGAAATTAAAGCAGAATTTTCTGTGTTGTGTGTGACTGTAGTTCTTCACTACTTCACTGTGTTCAAACCTGCTGCTCTTATACTCTTCTTATATAGGAGTTTGAAGAATCAATAGCATTTAATTTGGCACTTAATGCACGATTTGTAACACCTGAAACAACCACCATTATTTGAGTTTTAATACAAAAATCAAACTGGAATTGAATACTGTAACAGTCCAGAACCAAACTAATGAATGGTTCATACTTTCGTGCAACGCCTCATTTGGCTAAGGCCGAAACCAGCTATGTGTTTCGAACCCACCAACACGAGAGGGTTTCGAACCCACCAACACGAGAGGAACTCTCCTCTCGTGTTACGCTGGCCTGTTTCGACCAAGCTGGTCTCTTTCGGCCTTGGCCGAAACAAGTGACTATTATGTTGGAAATGTATACCGAAAGTTGGCATAACTTAGCCCGCAAGGCCAGCTAATTTTCGGACGACATTCGTGCCCCCAGGTGCTGGCGCACACGAGCTCGGGCTTGAATCAAGCCTTTTTCAATCTCGTCTAGTTAGAATTTGATTTGCACCCCCCCCCCCTGCGCAAGAGAGCCTCTATGCTATACAATTCTACAAGCTCTAAAAAAGCTCTTGTATAAAAGGGGGGTCAAATCCTCTTTCCAAACCAATGTGGGACAAAAGCTCACTTTTTCCCTTCATTTTTCCAACTCAATGGGTCTACTTTGAGAATCAATATCTCATTCACCCATTATCCGTTTTGAGCGTACAATATATCAATCTCTTCGTCTCACTACGAAGAACCCGAATCCACTTTGACCCGACCCAAATCGGAAGTGGACCCCACTGATAATTGTACCACAAAATAGCCACTTAATATGCCATTTTAAGCTATTTTTTTTCCAACAATCCCCCACATGAATGAAAATTGATTTTCAGGGTATTTTGAAATCGGAAACAAACTGTGTTCAACGGTCGATCCCTGCATAGGATAGGTAGGGATCACTATACCCTTTGAACCTTCCCTTGTGAAGACATGTTTACTCTACTGGCTGTACGGTAGAACGCGATGTCTTTGAACCGACTGTCGTTTGTGTAGACGATGACATATCTCACACAGGAACCTCCCAATCATGCTCTGTTCTCATGAGTGTGCCCATTTTGGTCGTGGGTTACCGTCCTGGTTCTGCAAGAGTTTGTGAAGAATTGTGCCCATCAATTCTCCTTTGAAGCGACCCTCACTTCTCTCTCACATAGGTGATTCTTTTCCGAGTATCCCGCATACTCACACATGTCAACCGACATTCGAATCATTAAAGCATCAACATGCTAACCTTGCGCGGGAGTCACTGTTCTAACGAGGAGTGGTAGGGAGTCCGAGACCCCCGCAGTGACACGCTCCGTTCCATAATTTAGTTGTCCCATTGAACCTAGGTACCAGCTAGGTTGGGTGTCCATTATAGAACTTTTAGTCCAAGGGCTTTAGACCCATTCCTCGTTCCAACTTCTCAACAACCATTTGCTTACCCTCGGGTTAGCGAGTTAGCGGCCGCTACGTTATCTTTTGACATCACGTAGTCAATCGAGATAATCCCCGTTGTGAGAAATTGGTTAATGGTATTATATCTACGACTTATAAGTCTAGACTTACCGTTCCACATTTAACTCTGTACTTAACCAATTTTTGGCTTGACTATTGCAATGCACACAAATTGGAGGTACGAGTTTATATTTAGGAACATTCCCAGAAAAATGGCATAGCCATTCGGCCTACTCGCTCGCAACACGAGTGTAAGGCTCTCAGCTTTGATCCCGTCGGATCTTAGCTATCACAAATTCATTTCGAGAATTTCCGTCCAACCGACTGCACTGGCCTACGTAAGGACGTAGCCTTTAATGGACTTAGTATCCTTTGATATCCGAGCTATACTTTCCAAGTACAGCTAGATATCTCATGTAGTGCAGTCCAAAGTCACGAGCATACCTTAAGTATCTCATAACTCTCACTATTGCCTTCTAGTGCGTAACACTAGGGTTACTCGGATGTCTACCAAGTTCGTTAACCGCAAAGGCAATATACGGCCTAGTACAACCCCTTAGATACAATTAAACTACCAATAATCTGAATGTATTCTCCATGAGAAGTACAATCTCCGTGATTATTGGCTAGTTGTACGTTAGTATCTAACGTGTCCAAACCACTTGATTATCATCCTTTACAAGGATTCAATCAAACTTAGTGAGATTGGCTTAACACGAGACCATACGGTCTCTTCACGATTTTGATCTCGAAGATTAAATCTGCCAAACTCACACCTCTCATGTCAAATCTCAAATTTAACATGTTCCTGGTAGAATTGATCATTCGATCGTTGCTACCCATGTTGAGTTTATCGTGTATAAACAAGTAGTGATATCACTGTCTATCGTACGCAATACGTAGACACACTTTCACTTTCGTTTATACCAAACTCGTTGGTCATCACTGCATGATCAAAACCTCACATGCCAAACACTAAGGAAATTGTTTCGAACAATACAATGATCTCACCAATTACACACTTTCTTTCCATAGCGCGGAACCACAAAACCCTCGGGTTGTTCCACGTCTATTAAGAAAGCGATACATCCATTTCGATAAATTTCCAAGTCTCGCTAAACAGCTCTCGGGAAGTATCATCCTAATGGATTTCATTCTCATCTCAAGATAATACATATTGAAGTAATCGTGGCACTCGTGTTGCATGTAATATACAATTACAAGCCCGACCATTTTACTTCGATATAACCAACCGGTTTTATCTTCCGACTAGTGATCCGTTTAGGATCTAGAGGTTTTACAACCCGAAGGAAAAACAACCAGTTCCAAGTATGATTCTTTAAGATAGAATTTACTTCACTCTCGATAGCCTCTTTCGGGTTGGTCCACCTGTAGAAGTCACCACTTCTACATATGTTCGAGGCTCATTTTCTAACAACCATGTCAGAAAATCCAATTTCTTTTATAGGAAACAAGTTAGAATATGTGCGTCACATTCTAGCATGTATGTCAGAAAATCTGGACCAAAGGATTATTCAATCCTAGCTCTCTTGTTACGTCTAGCTTTGAGCTCGGGTTCTCTTTCATACCCTTCAATAATAGGTACGCCGAAAGTTCCTTTCAACGTGCTAGGTCCTTTATTGAACTTTCACAGAGATACATTCTCTAAAGAACAATGAATTTCTAGATTTAATTTATCGTGTTCTTATGTACGTCCAGACTATGGGACTCGTGTACTAAGAACCAATACACACCTTTGGCAAGACACCCCCACATTTCAGGCATTAGTAGGAAAATTTTCTACGTAGCCACAATTCGTAAGAATTTCATGCGGGTAACCTTATTTAAAAGGTACTTGCTAGTCCAAAGTATTGTCTCACCTCACATACTTTGAGGTAGACCCGAACTTATCAACGTCTTGATATTTATGTTCGGCAACAACGTTCGATTGAGGTGAATACCGTACCGTACTCTCGAGTACAATACCAACGCTTGCGCCGAAATCACCAATAGGTGTTTCACGTTCACCACATCGATCGTTCATAACCGCATTAATCCACAATTAATTTGGTTATCCTTTTATTCTTATAAAGAATAGACATGTGCTACACGTTAGCACATCTCGTAGGTGCGAACAGATCAGCACTTACGAATCCATTCAGTTTTGACCGACAGGCCACAAACCCGAATCAGTGCTTCCGAAATTGAAGCACGAATCAGTGCTTAGTAGTGAAGCACGAAACATGCTACACAAGGCACGAATCAATGCTGCCAAACTAACGCATCTATTCCAAAGCAATCTCTATTGCTCTTAAATTATAAACTCATAGCAACATTCGATTGCTTAATTTATAATTCCAGTGCTACCTAGCACAAGGATTATTAGTTAATTACACAATTAACCAAACCTCCTTTCGTGCTAGTCACATAGCACTTTTTACAACGCTAAATTTAATTAGCCACACACGAAAGGTTTAAGCTAAGTAGATTAGCATTGAGACCAATCATAATCTAGCACCTTTATTGCTATTACCAAAGCACCAAATGCTTAAGTTTTCAACACCTAAGGTGCAGCCACCAAGTGGCCGAAAGTGCCTAATTAGGCACTCTACCTAGTGCTTAATAGTACTGTTACAGTGTTTTAATTTGCACTTCAAAGTGCCAAATTAAATTGCACTTTCCATTAGTGCTACAAAAGCACTATTTACCAAAACACAATTTGTCTCAAATTAAATATACTAGTATAATTTGGAATTTTTGAACAAGTTAATTATAACACAATTAACGAGAACAAGTCAACCAAATTTTTCGACTAGTTGAATCAAACTTATATAATCGTTCTCAGAATATTAATTAAAATATTCAACACTTGAGCTGTGACGCTCACGATTATATAGCTATCTCAATTTTTGACAAATTGATCCTATTTTGAAATCTGTATCGTTCAACATGAATTAGAATCGAAGTTCTTTACAGGATTTCAACATGTAACACGCTTGTTACATTTCGTTCCGACCGTTAAGCCATTTTAGCATTTTCCACATAATGCTCCGTGATGCACTACGCACCCTTATTGAATCTTATATATATTAAAATATCACACAAAGAATATTTTAAAATATACAAAGTTCAAAACACACAAATGGAACAATTCATTTTATTCAACAATAAAATGTATCACAAGGATACTACAACATTTATTTAACGAATAAATAAATAGGAAAAATTACATTGGAAACCAATTTCCATTATTCCTATGTAGTAGTCCTTCGAGCCCGTGTGCCTTGTTCCATTCTCCAACTGTCCACACCACAAAGGGAGGTCCATAGCGCACATCGGGGGTACCTCGGTTGTGACCTCACTCGTCCAACCATCCACATGTTTTGAACATAGCGAAGTTGTCCTCAACCTTTTCACCAGGATGACGGTTCGCTTCATAGTGGCATTTTTCCTTCTTCTCGTAATCTTCTTGAAAGCTAAGCTTCCGTTTGAGTTTTCTTCGATTACGGTTGAAGTCATTTGTAACACTACCATAGTCCTCAGACCATGTAGTCATTACACCATCATAGGATCCTTCATGGCTTTTTGCCGATCCACTAGACAACACAATAGGTACCAATTGTGTGCCATTAACCACTGGTCTACCGGATCGTGAACCAAAGTTCTCCGGAGCACCATCGTGTGTCTTTGCAACTCCCATGGAAATATTATTTCCAACGTTGCAGCCATCAACTGGCATCACAGAATGTGCAACATCGTTGCCGTTCCTACCATTTGAATGTGCACCTCCGGCAACATTCACGGATCCAACACTTTTGGACTCCATCGACTTGTTCATTATCAAAATTGTAAGGTTTTAAGATTGTTGGAGATAATGAACCAAAATCGATTTAATATCCCTTAAAATAATATTTATATATATACACACGAAATATATATAAAATATTATTGGATATATATATCCGAAATATATATATACACACACAAATATATATAAAACGGATCCAAAGGTTATATATACGTATATCTACGAGAAAGATATAACAATATATATCAACCAAAAGGAACTTATAATAATCCTCGGATTATAAGTCCAATCCAACTAAAATGTCAAAAGATGGAGAACGGATTTTTGCTTAAAAGCATAATCCAAACAAGAAAGAAGGAGAAGGAAGAGAGAAATGTACAAGTTAGGCGAGTGCCTTTCTTTCCTTAAAACCTTATTTGCCACCTCCCAAAAGTGCTAGGAGCGTTGTGGCCTAGATTTCCCAGGATAAAGCGTACAACGGTTCAACGTTTGAGCACCCAAACGAACGAACCCGGCGAACTAGAGCACGGGCAAAACACAGCTTCAAGAAGAGAGTAGGAGCAGAGTTTTTGGAGCTGGGAAAGCAGAATTTTTTGTGTTGTGTGTGACTGTAGTTCTTCACTACTTCACTGTGTTCAAACCTGCTGCTCTTATACTCTTCTTATATAGGAGTTTGAAGAATCAATAGCATTTAATTTGGCACTTAATGCACGATTTGTAACACCTGAAACAGCCACCATTATTTGAGTTTTAATACAAAAATCAAACTGGAATTTAATATTGTAACAGTCCAGAACCAAACTAATGAATGGTTCATACTTTCGTGCAGCGCCTCATTTGGCTAAGGCCGAAACCAGCTATGTGTTTCTTTCGGCCTTGGCCGAACCCACCAACACAAGAGGAACTCTCCTCTCGTGTTACGCTGGCCGAACCCACCAACACGAGAAGAACTCTCCTCTCGTGTTACGCTGGTCTGTTTCGGCCCTGAGAAACTCTCCTCTCGTGTTACGCTGGTCTGTTTCGGCCTACGCTGGCCGAACCCACCAACACGAGAGGAACTCTCCTCTCGTGTTACGCTGGTCTGTTTCGGCCACTATTATGTTAACTCTCCTCTCGTGTTACGCTGGTCTGTTTCGGCCACTATTATGTTGGAAAAGTATACCGCGCTGGTCTGTTTCGGCCTACGCTGGCCGAACCCACCAACACGAGAGGAACTCTCCTCTCGTGTTACGCTGGTCTGTTTCGGCCACTATTATGTTAACTCTCCTCTCGTGTTACGCTGGTCTGTTTCGGCCACTATTATGTTGGAAAAGTATACCGAAAGTTGGCATAACTTAGCCCAGAAGGCCAGCCAATTTTCGGACGACATTCGTGCCGGCGCACACGAGCTCGGGCTTGATTCAAGCCTTTTGCAATTTTGTCTAGTTAAAATTTGATTTGCACACCCCCCCCCCCCCCCGCGCAAGAGAGCCTCTATGCTATACAATTCTACAAACTCTAAAAAAGCTCTTGTATAAAAGGGGGGTCAAATCCTCTTTCCAAACCAATGTGGGACAAAAGCTCACTTTTTTCCTTCATTTTTCCAACTCAATGGGTCTACTTTGAGAATCAATATCTCATTCACCCATTATCCGTTTTGAGCGTACAATATATCAATCTCTTCGTCTCACTACGAAGAACCCGAATCCACTTTGACCCGACCCAAATCAGAAGTGGACCCCACTGATAATTGTATCACAAAATTGCCACTTAATATGCCATTTTATCGTTTTAAAAATATTATCAACAATAAAATTACTTCAATTTTATGTCGTGCATCGCACGAGTATAAATACTAGTTCATATATATATATATATATATATATATATATATATATATATATATATATATATATATATATATATATAGAGGTTATTATTATTATTATTGTTATTATTATTATTATTATTATTAATTAGTTCATAGTTTACCATAATTATGGTAAACTATGAATTAATAATAATAATAATAATAATAATAATAATAATAATAATAACAACAACAACAACAACAACAACAATAATCCTTTATATAATAAAGCTATATGGTTTGGGAAATAATTAATGTTACAATTAATGCCACAACACCCTTTATTATAAAATAAAAATAAAAATAAAAAGCACAACATTTAAAAAATAAAATAACTATATATTATATAATCATATAAAAAATATATTTTTGAAAAATAAAATAGCTATATATTATATAATCATATAAAAATGTGTTCAATTAGAGTTTAAATTTACACATATAAAATTTGAAATTTTTCTTTCCAAATGTAATTATCTTAGTTATAATTCGTATTGTGAAAATTATAATATAGATGAAATACAATTCAGAATAAATCAATGTAATTATGTAAATTCTCTCTATAAGTTTATTTGAATATGCACATAATTAGAGATTATATTAACCATACAAAATTATAATTTTAATTTTAGTTGTAATTTTGTATTGTATAAAAATAATAAATACTTGACAAATGGAAGCTCAAAAATATTCTTATATTAAATAATTTAAAATATTTTAATTTTTTTATTTTTTTATTTATATTTATAATAACATAATTTTTTCCCGTACATAAGCGCGGGTAAATTACTAGTAATAATAACCTCTCTCTCTCTCTCTCTCTCTCTCTCTCTATATATATATATATATATATATATATATATATATATATATATATATATATATATATATAGGCTTTGGTTCCCATGAGGTCTCTATTAAAAGTGAGATCATGAGGACTCATCACCACTATGAACTCATTTAAAATTGATGATTGAGATTGATTGAGTTTTATAAATTAATTAATGATAGATTTTAAGCATAAGGAGAAAAGAGTAATTGTGTTAGTGTAGTTATTTTTGGTGATAATAATAATGTAATATTTAGCATACTAATATACTAAATATGAATGGTAATAAGTAATATATTTTTGTGATTGGGGAGGAATATGACGGTAAATAACGCAGAGAACGGTGAAGCAGACATCGGCGGTAGCTTGTTCATGCTGGGAGACAACACGGGTATGTGGTCATGCACTGAATTTTAATTTGTTTTAGAACGGAAGTTATTGTATTAGATATTAATGGCGTGTGCAAATTCTTCGACTTGGATGTGCGGTAGAGGATGACATTTTTTATTTGAGAATGATTTTCTATAATTCATTATCCTCTTGTAATTGACCGCAGTGAGTGTTTTTTATTTTTAACGTGGGGAAACAAATACTAAAACAGTAGAGGGTATGGTATATGGGGGTGGGTGCGTGGAGGTGTTAGGGTGTGTGCGTGTTTGTGGGTTTAGGAGTTGAACAATTTTTTTATGATTAATTTTGGGTGGTGTGTTCCTAAATTCACATAATTTGTATGGTGTGTTCGTGTTGACGGTTTAGAGAGATGAGCAGGTTTCAAACATTCTAATATTTTTTTATGATGGCGTGTGCGTGTAATTGTACGGGCTTGTTTATGTATTTGTTTGGGTTTGTTTTTAACGTGTTGTGGGAAAAATCCTAACGCCGTAGAATTATGGTAGTTGGTGATTTGTGCGTGAAGTTATTTGGGTATGTGCGTGTATATGGTTTGGCTTGAGTGAATAGTAAAATGTGAGAGGGACAGTTATCGGACATTTATTTGGGTTGGAAAACATTCTCATACTTTGTAATTGGGTGAGTGCACGTATTTGGTTGGGCACGTGCGAATTGTAGAATGCGATCTTTACAATGTTATTACTAGCGTTTGATAAATTTAGAAAAATAAATAATATGATGGGTATGGGTAAATGCAAGTTCATTGTCTGGTTTTTTTAAGTAGTGATTGTATGGGTAGAATTAGTTTGTTTATGTTGTACATCCTAGAATTATTATGCGTTTGTAAGTGCGTATACGTGTTATACATTATCTTTCTTATTTGTTGGTTGGATTCTTCAAATTTTTCCAAAGTTGTCGCAATTGCAGAACTAAGGCTACTGAGGGATAGCTTCCTTCATTAATATTCGTCTCTATTTCGGAAGACTCAGAGAATAAAGATATGAAATGACTAAAATGTCCAGGGTAAATCGGAGCTATCGCCGGAGTAGTGACGGAATATGGCTAGAGGGACTGAATTTGCGAAAAACAATTATTTTCGGGGACCAAATTGATGAATACGCGATTGAGGGACTACATTGACAGTTCGTAAATAACTGAGGGACCAAATCATTGATTCTCCCTTTAAATAATTATATATCGGTCCAAATATTCAATCCATTCCTTGCATTGCACATCCGAAAATACTAGTTATGTATAGATAAGATTAGAGTAAATACCAGCGGAGGTCCTCTGACTTTGGTGGCAATACCACTTTTAGTCCTCAACTTTTAAATCAACCACTCTTAGTCCTCTTACTTTTTGTTTCTAGCCATCTATGGTCATTCTGTTAAACTTGACCATCTAATGCCGTTTTCTCAAGGATAATTCAGTCATTTCATAATTAATTTATTAATTATTATGTTTGTCGAGTCATACCGAGATATCCCGACGTCGTTTTGGCACAACCTTCGTCCCGGCTTTTGTACGGCATTTTGATTCACGAGCTGGTTTTGTACACGTTCATAGCTGGGAAAATCATTATTTGACTATTCTGATGAGGAAATTAAACATAATAATTAATAAATTAATTATGAAAGGACTGAATTATCTTTTAAAAAACGGCATTAGATGATCAAGTTTAACGAAAGGATCATAAATAGCTAGAAACAAAAAATAAGAAGACTAAAAGTGATTGATTTAAAAGTTGAGGACTAAAAATGGCAGTGCCACCAAAGTTGGAGGACCTCCACCGATATTTACTCATAAGATTATTAAAATCTGCGGATCGAGACAAAATTGCACCATCTTCCCGCGTTAAAGTTTCAATGCCTAAAAAGTAAAAACCTAAAGGAAATTTCCCCAATTAAATCACTCAGGTCTTCGACACTCCTAGTCCTGGCTCATATACTCTTATGTCTTCAGTTCACCTGGATGAGCGAATGTAGGTAGATAGTCGAAGAAGATGATCATGGCGAAGGTGTTCAAGGGAGCCAACGTGTTCATGTCGCGGAACCTGGTTCCGCCGGAGCACTTCGACGCTCTTCACGACGCGCTCAAGCTCAACGGAGCTCAGGTCTTCCTCTGCTGTGACCCCTCCCGCAACGCGCCCGACGACTACCACATCATTTCCTCTATCGATCATGTAATCCCCCTTTCTTAGCACTCAGCAGCCTCTCGCTTTCGAATTAAATTCTACAGTAATTCATCTGTGGAGTTCTACAGTTGTGGCTTATCCAGGTTCCCTTTTCAAATTGCAGGAGAAATTCGAGGATCTCCGCTCCAAAAAATGCAATTTGATTGGTAATAACCGAGTATTTCTTTACATTGACTGTACATTGACTCTTTTATATTTTTGCTCATCTTCTCCGCTTGTTTGCCAGGTCCTCAGTGTGTGCTTTTTTGTGCCAAGGAACAGAGACCACTGCCCAATCAAGGTTTTACATGTTGCCTTGCAATGGACGGAGTCAAAATACTGGCATCTGGTTTTGAAGCGGATGAAAAGGTACACTCACTGCGTCTACCCTGTCATTAAGCCTTCTACAATTGTGGTGTTTTCTTGATCAACATAGAAAAATCAAGAGTTGAACGTACCTGTACTTTTCTATCAATGTGTACCAAGTTTCTTCCTTATTTCAAGGGAGCAGTTTTGTATTTGAGGAATTAAAGCATCCTGCTTTTAACTTGTCATTGTATCTCTTTACTTCACATCTTGAGTACAATTTGCACTTGTAATACTTTTTTAGGTCTATTTTATGATGGTAGCACTTTAGTGAAGTGCAAAAATGTTTTGGATTGTCTTTATAAGGTTATATAGTCAGGTGTATCGTGTATGCCAGGATGCATATCTAATTTGAGCATGTATTCTTCTATCATCTAGAATTAATTGTGCTTGTGTTGAAAATTCATTATTCTGCACAAAGTGGGGATATTACTAGAGTTCAAACTCAGAACCTCATTCCCAGAGTATAAAAGTGCTAGGTGTCGCATTGGATGAAGGCCTATTATTTTTCTCAAAAATATTATTTAAATATGTAAGAGCTTGAGCAATACTTAAATAGTATAAATTTTCCCTTTAAATTATAGTCAATTATATATTGTTTTTAATTCAAGGTTCTTTTTTATATAGCATATATTCTTCCTTTTTTCAGCTGAATTCAAGATTACTTATCCCTTCTTCACTGTGTATATCTTGTAGGTTGAAATAAAAAAGCTAGTAGAAGCAATGGGAGGAGTTTTGCAAGCAAAAGCATCAATGGATGTAAACTTTGTCATTGTGAAGAATGTTTTGGCTGCAAAATACCGAGTATTGTTTTATCCCTTAGTTCACTGTTGTTTTACTATGTTTGAGAAATTAGTTTTGTGTGAGAGACTTGCTTTCCTCAATCACAGATCACCTACCTCCTCACTCTCTTTCTCCTTCTATCTATAAAGTTAGTATGTAATTTACTTGGGGACAAGTTTGGACTTGATGCTCCTCCATCGACCACTTGCAAAAACATGTAATTGTAAAAGAAGTGACTTAGTGTAGCCTGCTTAGACTTTAAGGGGAAATGCTTTTTAATTTTTCTTTTTTGGCTATTATGGGATGAATAGAGTAATTGCTAAGATGCAGGATCCAAACAATGAGAGAGCTAAAAATTCCCCCAAAATCTCTCTGGAAAAGTGACACAATGTAAAGAGTTTGTGGTTTAAACAAGACTATAGGAAAGATTAAAAAAAAAAAGGAAATAACTTTTATCTTCTCTACTTGAAAATTTATATGGGTTCTGCTCCTAATAATAAATGTCAAATAACAATGGAATGAAAAGTGGTGCATTAAATTAAAGTAGTGAAATTTAATTATTGGTTAAGCGTAGTTAGGAACCACCTTTGAGGGTGTTGACATTTAGTCATACAACTTGATATTATGCACATATTTACAAATGGAGCAAGTCTGAAATTTGTGAATAATTTGTTGATGCTATATCACCTGATGGTTTGATGATCCAATTCTTGAGCTGCTACTACGAGGAATGGTTCTCCCTTTTCCTATCAATGAGGTGTGTGGCTTGTTGGATTATTCTTGGATATCCATCATATCTGAAAATCTTCTATGGAGAATTTCTTTTATCAACATTGGTCCTAAGAGATGCCCATTACAGTTGCTCCCTGTCTGAACTGTGTTAATTAACCTTGAGTATATGAATATGTAGTCAGACATTCATTTTTTTATGGTTATTTTCCTTAAACTGTTAGGACCACAAGGTTTTTTCACTGAATATGTCAATATCTTGTTTCTCTTCTGTATGTGGTCATTTGCAGTGGGCAGTAAATGTACTGAAGAAACCAATTGTTAGTATTAATTGGCTGCATCAATGTTGGAAGGAGCATCGCTTTGTTCCTCATGAGTCATTCAGGGTCCACCCTTTTTCTGGGCTCACCATCAGTGTCACCAGAATTCCTGCAGGTTTTCTAGTAATCATGTCATGGAAATATAGAATGGGTCTGCCTTTTATGTGTTTTTGAATTCCATATGTTTCTGTCTCAGATGAGAGGAAGGAGGTGGAAAAGATTGTCTTACAAAATGGAGGCAAATATTCTCCCGAGCTGACCAAAGCCTGCACACATTTAATTTGCCCTATATCCTTTTTATAGGCATGATTTGACTTGTTTGTTTAGTTTATGATGCAACATTAGGCGTGATTTTTTGGGGAGACATATTTGTTATATGCAGGCCAATATACTAAGTCAAATTTGCATCAAATGATCAAATATTCACCACCAGGAATATCCAGAATGCTTTGCATAAATTGTAAATTAGCTGCATGACAATATAAGTGTAACTAACTCAAGGTTCTTACTTCCTCTTTTTTCTAGTTGGGAAACTACTTTTGTTGTCCCTAGAGCCCTCCATCCCAAAAATATACTGTTTCGCCTGCTCGTACTCTAATGAATGAGTCTTGAGTTTAGGTTCCATCAAAGGATACATTTAATGTTTGCTTTTATTCCTTATCTTTGATTCTAGCATTTAGAAGGTGCATATGCATTGAAGTTGATTGAGCATTGCTGCATTGGGCGTATTTGTTTTCTTGACTGTTGATAAGCTCCTGTAGGTGATAAATACAATGTTGCCAAGAGTTGGGGTCACATACGCATAGTTACCAAGAGGTGGCTTGACCAATCTGTTGCCAGAGGAGGTAAAGTTTTTCATTAGTGGGTGCAGCATCTTTTTCTTCACTATTTTAGAGTTCCAACTATGAGATAGTTTTTGCTAGGTGTCTGACTTTTCTTCCATTCTTTTTGGGATGAATAGCTTGCCTTAATGAGGAGTCCTATCGTATTCAGGGCAGTTCTGCATCTATGAATTCAGTAAGAATAAAAAACCGACACAGCTTGGAGAATGTTATTGAGAGTGTTCAAAGTATGTCCACTGCAACTGTATCGAACTCTCATGCTGTGGATTCAGATATGGGGGCCACTGATTGTCAGAACACGTCTTCATTTTCCGGTGCTCCTTTCTTTTCCAAAGGGGATGAAAGTGATGCACCCACTGAACAGCAAAAAAATAATACTAATTTTGATGGATGTGTTGCTGGTGACTCTCAAACAGATGATAATGATTTATACTTGTCAGATTGTAGACTTCTAATTCTTGGTTTTAGTGCACCTGAAATGCGTAAACTTGTCAACATGGTTCGTAAAGGTGGTGGTTCTCGTTACATGTCATTCAGTGACAAGTTGACACACATAATAGTTGGATCTCCATCTGAGATGTAAGATCTATGATCCCTCCTATGCATTATAGTATAGTTATAGTTGTGCAAAACTCTAAAGTGCTGAACTACTAGCAAGATGATGCTGATCAGCTGATATGCCCAGTAAGGCAGTAAATCATCATAGCAATGAGTTAGTTATATTGTAATCTACTCTTTTCATTTTTAATATACCGCAATTAAAACAAAAAAAAAAAAATCATAATTCAGGTCGTCACCACAGTCTATATCCCCATCTGCTAGCTGATTATGCCTAGTAAGCCATAAAATCTACAATGGATTTTGTTTATTACTTCTATTTCATTCTTCTGTAAGATTCTGCATGATGTACCCAGTAAATCATCACAACAATGTTTTTTGCAAGTATTTTGTAGCCCACTTGCGAGAAAGTTTTTAATTTACTATGTTCTATTTTATTTATATTGCTTCACTTTCATTATCCATAATCTATACCCCCATCCTCTAGCTGATTATTTATCCTAGCATTTATTTGAGTTGTCTTAAACTGAACTTGGCTTGCAAGATTTCTATAGCGAGGTAGTCCTAAGATGAAAATCTCTTTAATAATTGTAAAGCATAGGTCACTCTTATAAGGCTTTGTTTTATTTGTTTCACCAATTTGCTCAAACCCACACCAATCGGCTGGTTGGACTATTCAGGTTTATCAGCTCTATGGTGAAAATATGCTTTAAAGCTGTCACCTTGTCTCACTCATAGGTTACTGCAATAGTCTTGTATCATGATACCCCTTACACAATTTGCTTTTATACTCTTCTCATATGCTAAATTTAACTGTTTTGTAGTGAAACCAAAGAAATAAGAAATCTTGCAGCTTTGGGTGTAATTCATGTTGTAAAACCAGATTGGCTTGCAGATTGCATTAGTGAAAAGAAAGAAGTTCCTGTTCTTCGGAAGCATATTGCAAATGATTTACTTTTTCCCAGAGGTGTGCTATTTTAATTACTCATTTTTTGTTGTTATTGTTGCTGTCATCTTGTGAGCTCTTTTTTTCGTCGATATTCTTATTGTTATGGCATTTGAATATGATGTTTGCATGCACTTGATTACCTCCATCAGAGTTTATTAGTGCCTGCTACTTTATTGCTGATTACATATCTTGATAACTTAAATAATGGATCATCAGCGAGCGTCGCTGTTGTGAAGCAAGGAAAATCAAATGAAAATGTTCAGCACTACAAGAATTTTGGATCTGGAAATTTACTGGAGAAGAGAAAAGAAGTAGAAAACATAAAAAACAAAGGAGCTTCTCAGATAGAAAAAGGATCACTCCAACCGCAGTTCTGTACTTTGAATTCTAAAGAAGAGAGGAAGATGCAGGCAAGTTCCAGCACAGCAGCTGAGGATAAAAAGTCATCTATTGTATTTAAGGGAAAGCGATTTTGCTTTTCAAGCTCCTTCCCTGCTAATCAGGTCAGCATTTTAACATCGCGAACTTTCAGAAACGAACAAAGCTTCTACAGTGAAAGGATTCTGTTACTCTTAAGATATAAAAAATTCTGACCACCCTCTGAACCAGATATTAATCATATTTATCAACCTTAAAAGTAGACCTATATTTTTGAGTAAAAGGCTAAAAGATAAACTTCTTGGAAATGACCCTGAAGATAGTGAGACCTGAAGGCCAATACAGGCCTTACAGTGCAAAAGATCATTTAGGGGAAATGCTCTTAAAATTCCATTGAATGTGTGCTTAGTTACCACTGAAAAGATGGTTGACTTAGGGGCAGCCAAACCATGATTGCTGATTTCATTTGCTGTGTAAGGCAACAGTTACACTGTCATCATAAGTTCATGACAGTTATTTTTTGCACTACAAATGTGCTATAATAAACTGTTTTAGTTTATCTCATAAGCATTTATTCATACCCCTACCTTTATGTTACTTTTGCCTCCCACTCACCATTTGCTCTCTAGCTCCATTCACCATTCAAATATGATGACAAATATCCATTTATGTCTGGCCAGAGAGCTGATATTATAGGGTGGGTGAATCAAGGGGGAGGAGAGTTGGTGGAAGATCAGATTCAAAGAGATGTGCATTTCACTATTGAATGTCATGGTGCGGTGCCCTCTCAGACAGATGCTGCTAGGGTTACGTATGTGTCAAGTCACTGGATTAAATCTTGTTTAGAGGTAATTAATCTTTTTGCGACTGAATCTGAAATTCCTAATTATTATGGAAATCCAAGCTCTTTCCAGTGTATTTTGTCAAGGCACTGGTTTATGTCTTGTTTAGAGGTAATTTAACCATTTTGCGAATCTGAATCTGAAGTTCCTAATTATTATGCTAATGCAAGCACTTTTCTAATGTGTTTTATGAGGGGAAGAATGCATATCTTAAAAAACTCATTCAAATATTATGTTGTCCGGAAATTTATTTGTGAGTTATTAGTTTCATATTATTCTATTTGAATGCTTTTTGTAACACCAATTCTCAGAGATCCAAATGCAACCCAATATGATTGAGGCAAAATAGCTCTCTACTTTTGTGAGACATGAAACATAGTTTTTATGATCTGGCATATAGGGCTGTCTTATTTCTTCCAGATAGCTTATTAAAACTAACTCTCTTGAGACTTATTTATCTATTCATTCATTCTTCTCACTAATTGTTTAGTGCATCAAACTTTGGCGGTCCATGCCTCCAATCTTGTAGTTTAAATCTTTTATGTTTGCATCTTTTTTTCGACTATTGTTTCTTCAAAATCATTGGAAAACTTTATTTTCTTCCCATGGCATGGATACTTGGGGAATTGATTTATCATTTTCCTTTTTCTTTTCCATCCAGCTTTATGGTTTCATGGATAGTTTTTAAGTGACTAGTGAAAGGTGTGGAGTGATCTACCTAACTCTGGATGTATTTCTTTTGTGCTTGAGGTATTTCCATTTCCTGCAAATGAATGCTAATGAAGTTGGAATTTCATTTTATGAAGGATGGACACTTGCTGGATGTTGGCAGTCACATCATCTATTCTCCACTTCCTTGTCAAGTACCTTTCCCTGCATTTAAGGGCTTTCGTTTGTGTGTTTCACAGTATGATGTAAAAGAAAGGCAACTGCTAAGAAATTTATGTGTTGTCCTTGGAGCTAAGTTTGTTGAGAAATTGACTACTAGGGTCACACATTTATTATGTAAATTCACCAGTGGCCCAAAATATGATGCTGCTTGTAAGTTACGTATCCAACCAGTAACTTGTGAGTGGATTTACGAGTGCATTAAGCAGGTTTGCCATTTGCTTCCCTCTCATTTTCTTCCATTACCTCATTGCATCCATCCTTCTTTTCTTGCCCTGTAAACATTTATTTTTGGAACCTGTATGCCTTCACATTTATGAAGTCCACATATCATTTATTGTCCACAGAACACAATTGTTGCTCCAGATCCATTCTATCCAAAAGAAGTAACTACTGAAGATCGAGAAGCTGGAATTTGCACAACGAGCCAGTTTCCTACACAAGCTGTTCAGATGATATCTGAGGATAATGTTTCTCAGCTTCAAAATCAGTCTAAAGAAATCAACAGTGTGAATAGTGAAGCTTTCACTGCCAGAAGTTCTGCAAGGGAAGAAATGAAGTATTTGCCCAGTAGTAGCAAGAAGGCAAGGCTCTTAGCAGATGAAAAACTAAAGTGTCCGCTATCATCTCTATCCAATCAAAGTGATGCTATATCTGGGGCAAACCCTCCAAATAACAGGAGGATGGAAAGCACCAAAGATTGTGCTATAATGACCGATGTAGCTAACCTTATTGAGGATTGTTTAGAGCAAACAAGCAAGGTACATTTGTTTATATACAGTAGCTGTGAAAGTGATCCTCGTGGGTTGGTAATAATCTTTTTGATTGTTTTTGGTGTTAGAATCACAATCCAAAGTCTCCATCAAGAAATGGCTGTGATAAAGACGTATCCTTAAGCTTTGCCTTCTTGCTTATTCTATGCGCTTAAATTGAGTGAATGCAGTCCTTAATTAATTAATAGCTCTTCACTTCTGAGTGTACAATTCTTGGTCAAGATCATGCAGAACCGCAGTCTGCTCTGAGATTGTCTGAGCACTGGACAAACAGGTATTTTCTCCCTGAACTTTTTACGGTGATGAACTGGACAATCTCTATGAGTTCAACAGTCTTTGCTTGACCCCTTGGACTAACATAGGAATAGATATGGTGTTTGCTTGTGTGGATAACATAATATTTACATTATGGTTTTCACTTTTCACCTCAGATTTGATAAAAAGGACGACTCTCAACCTCTTCATGAAGATGTACCTGCTACTGCCTTTTACGATGGATTTAGCGATCCCCAAACAGAGTCTCAGGTTCCTTTTTTTTTTTTTTTTTTTTTTTTTTTTCACTATGAACCGCTAACACAGTAACTAGGAAAACCAGGGAAGTAGGGCAGAATTCTCATCAGTCTTGTTCTATACTTTGCTAAATTCATTTATGATGATTTGTTACAGGTGGTTAGTTATGCGCAAGATTTGTCCGGTATGCAAATGATTATAGACCGGGTACGGACAAGCAATCCTAGCATGAATTAAAGGCCTGAGATGAAGATGTACTTTATATCCTCCTAGATGCTTTGTCAGGCCAGAGCGTGTGTGGCTTTTGGGGTTGGGAATTCAACCTTTTGGGAACAATTAAAGGCTTGAGATTCATTTAGTCGATCTCGGGGATACTGGGTAATCACAGTAGTGATTGTAGCTGGAGGGTGATGAATGGTAAAGTTCATCTATCTGGTGGTTATGACACCCCTATAATGATATATGATGCAGAAGAAACATTGTGACATTTGGTCGGTCCTAATTATATTAGGATCCAAAGCTCACTTTGTAGAGGAAACTTGTATAATGTAGTCTTTTCTTTGAACACTTATTAGTTTGGTACTCTTCAGTTTATTGCATCAAATTATGAATGATTGTAATTTAACGAATCCGCTGTTATAAACAAACGTCAAAATTTCTACCCTGTGATACCAACCCACCATTCCCCCTCTATATTTTAACTTCTGCTGATAACACTCCCCGTGTGAATACCCGCTCAATATATTACGGGGAGTAAATTTCAATTTTGGTCCTGTGATTGTTGGGGTATTGTTAATTACAATTCATGATTTTTAAAATTGTTAATTTAATATTTTAACTATTGAATTTTTATCAATTTTGGTCACTTCAGTCAAATTTTGTCGAAAAATTTTAATAAGTAAAATAATAAGGATATTTTTTTATTCATTTTACTCTTTCCTTTCTTCTTCGACGAGCTATCATATTTCTGGCCAAATCTTTTCTTTCTTCTCAATCTCAATCTTCTAGCCGCGGACCACTATTTACGATCAAAATAAAAATAAAAAAATTACCAGCACCATTTTATGGTCTTCTCCACCAGAAAAGACGACTGGATGACCGATCGATCGTTTTCTTTGGTGGAGAATACGATTAGACCGATCATCTTCTCCATGGAGAAGATGACCTTCTGGTTGCGACCAAATCTAGTTGTCTCCTCTGTGGAGAAGATGACCGTCTGGGTCCCCTTCTTCAGTGGAGAAGGCGAATGGTCACCTTCTCTGTTGTAGAAGACGACCGACCGATCATGATTGTCGAATTTTTTTAAAATTTAAAACGTCGACGGATTTTTTATCGCTGGAATTATCGTTAGAATTGTTAATTTGTTATGGTTATTTCAGGTAAATTATCAGTTATTGGGTTTAGATGCACTAAAATGATAAGTTTGAATGTTTAATTGTACTTGTTTATCAAAAAAGAAAAAAAAATTGACAACAATTTAAAAAAAAAAAAATTAAAAATACGCACCCAGTAGGTGTGTGCACACGCCTACTAGGCACAATTCTTGCGCTCCACGCGCATTTTTTTTCCTTTTCTCTCTCTCGACGAATCTCACAAAAAATCATTCATTACAGGAGAAAAATCACGCTCCACATTTGATAAAAACTAACATTTTTTCATTGTTTCAAAAACCATAAAAAAAAAAAAAAAAAAAACATTAGAGATGCTCTAATTTAAAGTGAGTAGCAGCCTTTAAAACTTTTCTGAATTTCTAAACCCTAAAATCGTTTCACAGTGCTATATAAGCTTCGCATATTGGGGCTACGGATGTTCCAAGCCTCTCCTCCGCCTTCACCACCACTCCGATCGCAATGAAGGGCCATAGCGACTGGGTTACTCCCACCTCGATGAATGCCTGCCTTCGTTTCAGCCCCCACTCTGCACTCCGCCATCCCACCATGAAAACCTGGAATCTAACCAAAGCTTCGTTCTACTCTTGGCCACATTTGGTATGTAAAAGCTGAGCCCTATTCTAGCATTGCCTTCTTGCTTTGTTCTTTCCCCTAATTTGAGGATGCCTTTATATTCTGTTCTTAAAGCTTATCAATTTGCTGTGCTGTTTTTGTATAATCTTAGAAATTTGTATCTCATATCAATGTTGTATCAATGTACCATTGATATCACATTCCTCGTTTGCTTTTATGTTTTTGGTATAAAAGCAAACATTTTGACATTCCCCCCAGTGCTTTTGGGAGCTTTCAAGGAATCGATATCATAATGGTATATGATTGATATGATACACATTGTAGATTTAGGTTTGTGATTGAATAAGTAATGAGGTGTTATTGTGTTTGTCAATTGCACATAGTTCTTCTTGGGATTCTAGTTAATGATTCCAAAGATTTTATCTGTGCATATAGTAAACTAAATGGCCTATCTGCTTGAGCTATCTCCTCCCCCTTGGAGTTGAGCTCCAATGTTGTAGGATTACATTTTCTGTTTGAGAGGACAGTTCTAAAATGCAGTATATATAGTCATGGGTTTTATTTTGCGATTGAATCACTATCTTAGTGTTAGTGTAGTGTTTTGCTAATTGCACATAGATCATTTTTGGACTTTAATTAATGATTCCAAAGATTTTATCTGTGCATATAGTAAACTAAATGGCCTATCTGCTTGAGCTATCTCCTCTCCCATGGAGTTGAGCTCCAATGTTGTAGGATTACATTTTCTGTTTGCGAGGACAGTTTTAAAATGCAGTATATATAGTCATGGGTTTTATTTTGTGATTGAACCACTATCTTAGTGTTAGTGTAGTGTTTTGCTAATTGCACATAGATCTTCTTTGGTCTTTAATTAATGATTCCATAGATTTTATTGGTGCGTATAGCGAATGAAATGACCTATATGCTTGAGCTATCTCCTCTTATTGAATTCATGGAGTTGAGCTTCAATGTTATAGGATTACATTTGTCATTTACTTTTGTAATTTCCAAGCAAGTTCTCAAGGGCTGGATATCTAATCTTTGTTTTATTTCATCTTGTATGTCATATTCTGTACCGGTTTGAGCTGGAGTTTTGACTTTATACACTTTTGTGGATTATGGTACTTGCAATTTTACCTCAATTTCTTTTGAGTAAGGGGGAGATGTTTGACTTGGTTGTTTTGGTAAGTTGGAATAAGGGGAGAACATAGTAAGGGGGAGTAGTAGTTATGGTATGTATTGTCTTGACTCTGATGGCTGCATATGGTATGTCTTTTGGTACTACTACATGGAAATATCGTGTGGTAAATCTCGGACTATATCACTCCCTGATTATGGTATTTTTGGTTTTATATCTCTTCACAATAAAGCTTTTATTTAGCTTATATTATCACTCCCTGATTATGTGATTTCTGGTTTTATATCTCTTCACAATAAAGCTTTTATTTAGCTTATATTATATCCGTGTATTGTGTGGTATTTTGGGGAAATTCTTTAATTCTGAATTGTGACATCTCATGGATTATTCGGCAGTACTAGTTTAGTGAAATCTAAATGGTACAAGGATGGAACAGGGACCCAAAGAGTTTTTTTGGTAATTAGATATTTAATGGCTAATTAAGGTATTGTTTAGTACATATACTGAGGGTTTTGAATAAAATTAATTTGTTTCTCTTATTTGCCCAAAGTATAAGATACTATAGTTTTACCAAATAAATTGTCAAAGGGAAAAATGCAAGTGTACAAATTTATTACACATCAAAACCTTTGTTGGTTAATTTATTTAGTTTTAAATTAATTAGATTTAAGCTAGACTAAAAAAATTCTTTGGACCATTTCCTATCATCTAATATTTGAATGACTATGAATTACCTTTGTTGGTTAATTTATTTAGTTTTAAATTAATTAGATTTAAGTTAGACTAAAAAAATTCTTTGGACCATTTCCTATCATCTAATATTTGAATGATTATGAATTATTGGTTGATTGAGAATGGGAAGTTAGCTAGGCGTGAAGTATGATGAATTCAAAATAAAATGTGTGGGTGTGGTTCTTTGAAGATTATGGGATGCTAATTATGTGGATCAAAATGATGGGTTATCTATTATTATAAAAGGAAGTCATCCCATTTAGCTACTGAATTAAGAACTGCTATATTCTGAGTTGCATAGCCTGTACCTGGGTCAGCTGAAGCTTCGCTTGAAGATTGTTATGGCATGCACGGTTCAGTTAAAGCAACTAGATTTTCAGTTACAATAGGAGATAAAATACTTCCCTAGGCAGATTATGAGTAGAAGGATCATAAGGATCCTCAGGCTCACTCTGATGGCTACTACTCTCCTTGAGGGCTTTTTAGTCATAATCTGTCTAGAAGTATTTTATCTCATATGTCATTAAAAATCTAGTTGTTTTAACTGAATTGTGTATGCTATAACAATCAATCTTCAAGCGAAGCTTCAGCTGACCCAGGTACAGACTGTGCAGCTTAGACTTAAAACCTCAAGCAATAATATAATAAAAGTGATTAATATGATAGCTTTGTGTAGAATTTCTTTTCTTTAAATATAGCAGTTCTCAATAAGGTAACTTTTCACAATGTGATGACTTCCTTTTATAGTAATAGATAATCTATCACTTTGATCCACATAATTAGCATCCCATAATCTTCAAAGAACTACACCCACACATTTTATTTTGAATTCCTCATACTTCACGCCTTGTTGACTTTCCATTCACAATCAACCAATAATTTATAGTCATTCAAATATTAGATAATAGGCAATGGTCTAAAGAGTTTTTAGTCTAGCTTAAAATCTAATTAAATTAAAATTAAATAAATTAGCTAACAAAGGTTTTAATGTGTATTAAATTTGTATACTTGCAATTTCAATAATAATAGTGAATTTTGATAATAATAGTGAATATAATTAATAAAAAAAATAGTCCCACCTTGCCTATTTAGCAATGTGAACTGTAACTTTGGCAGCTTTTTGTCATATTGCAACCCTTGCCATGAAAGCAAGAATTGCAATCCACATTGACTGTTGACATGTTTTTGGTTATGTTCAGCCATTTTCCAGCTGATCATCGATTATTTTTGAGCGTTTTGGGGTAGCATTGTTTTCCCAAAAAGGCTCCCAACACTAATATTAATAAAAACAAAAACGCTCCCAACACTAATATTAATAAAAATAAATTTTGAACTAGTTTTTTGTGGAGCCTAGTGTTTTTTTGTGACCGTCGTAAGACCTAAAGAATGGAGGACCTAAGGTTTGGCTGAGTGAGTGACCTGACCTAGTTAAGTTTGGAGAGTTTGTCACTGGTTTTGGACTTAATTGAAGGAGACCAATGCAATTTAAAGGGCACAACTGGTCGGGAGCTATTGCCGTTCTCCTGATGAGCCTATGGTAGGGCGAAACCAGTTTGACAGGTATGCGGGTAAGGTTGGTCTGTGGGTATGAGGGGCCTTGGGATACCGCATGGGCGTTGTGTTGCGTTGGATCGACATTAGTCTCCTATACATTGGTGGAAAACTCCCTATTCAAAGAGTCTTAAATTTACCCATCATATGTTTTAAAAGAGTTCTTCAACTCCAACACTAGCCATCCGATGTGGGGCACATTGGATGTGTAAATTAAATAGGGAGCATCGCAACATTGGATGTGTAAATTAAATAGGGAGCATGACTCTACATTTTGAT